ATCAAAATAAAAAAATAAAATTAGCTTAATAAAACAGCCACAGGCCTAAAGTGTAAGCAGATGTTTGAATGTTTAGTTCTCTCTTCTATCATAATTAAACAGGGCTTTCATGTTGCACGTGCTGAAGCTCCTCTGCGTGGGCGTGATCTCGCTTCTGAATTGCGAATAGCAAAAATGCATCATAGACAAATGTTTGAAAAACAGCTGGCGACTCTGGTGAGATAGAATTTGCAAGATAATTTATATATAGCAATAATAAATGTATGTGTGTTTTATTAATTTCTCCAGTACCGATAGCAGAACCGTTAACGTCAGAGCTTATCGATACTCTGGTCTTTCATAATTTAGCCCCGGGACCGATTAAATACCGAGTTTCGGTACCCATCCCTAGTCTTATGTGACCTCTCCTCTGAGGTCTACACATAAATCCTGTGGGAAAATGTGGGCCAAAAAATGTCTCACGGACTAAAATAAATGCTGATCTGGAAGGATTAAGTTCTGAAGCATAGCTGAAGTTAGAAAAACAAGCGATTTGTAACAGCCATTCTCTTCCTGTGTAGATGCCTAAAAACTGCAGTGACAAAGATTTAAAAAAAAAAGAATGATTCAGCTTATCCTATCTGATTTTGAATATGTTAAAGTTTTGGTTTTAGAGACATGCTATAATGGGGTAAAACTATAAAATTCTTTGTATAAAAAAATTGAGTGCACTATTAAAATTCAAAGCTGATTGTAATCTACATAAACACAACATGTATACATACACTCATATAACACCCAAGGTTTCTTGTTTGGTGAACACAGGGTTGGATGCTCAGTGGTTCAGTTTGTCCTTTCTCATTGAAATAAAGGTATGGAATATCACTGCAGAACCTAAAACAGACATATCCTCACTTTCAAATGTGGGCCTGGGCCCTTAATAATACATGTTGTGTAGTACACACATGGCAGGGAGCTACACAAAACATTACAGGTAGAGGTAAATATTTTATAACCTAGCTCTTTGGAATAGGCACCAGAATGTATTCATTTCCTCTGAAAATAGAGTGGGCTGAGATTGTTTCCACAGGACTGTAGGTTCAGTGGATGGTTCAAAAGTAAATTATGCTGTATAACTATTATGCAGCATGCTGTCGTGTCCCCATCAAATCTTAATAAACTAGATAGAATATTTAACTCATTTTTTCCCCAAGATAGCATTAATCATAACAATCAACTACGTTTTATCACAATATAAACATAATCACAAACTTAGAATTGATTTTTAAAAATTAGAATTCAAAAAAAAAAATTGATTTCAAAAGGTACTGCATAACACAAGCAGTGTTGCCAGATTGGGCGGTTTTGAATTTGCTTGTGCGGGTAAAAATTGGCTTGGGCGGGTGAACAAAATTTGGGCTGGTTTGGGGTCAGTTTGGCGGTTTTCAAACATATAAATTGCATAGGTTAACAAAACAAGCCCAAGTATGTATACTGCATCCAATCAGTCATCATAACATTACTACACACACACACACAAACACACACAAACACACGCACACTGCAGAGGCGCTGGTGCTGATGTAAACGTCGACAGCCGCGATTTACATATTCTATAACATTATTTTGACAGTTAAAGTTTTGGGCGGTTTTTTGGCGGGTTTTTGTGAGCTTTTGGGCTGGAAATCGTCCATCCAATCTGGCAACACTGAACACAAGTTGCCCAATAGTAGTACTGTCTAGGAATGTTTATTACCCTCAAGTATGCGTGCAACACATACACTCAAAAATAATCAATAAGATATGTTTTTTATGGTGTATGTGCACATTTTTACCCTAGGGGAAAGAAACATAGACAAAGGCTGAGTGCATAATTTTGCAAATACATTTTACAGATTATTACAGCACTATTGTTATGAACGTTAACATGTCAGAGACAATTTAGCCTTTTTAGTCTCAGTGTCTCATAGAGCACTTTAAACACAAGCCTAAATCTAATTAGCATTTCAAATGTGAATGAAGTTCACCCAAAAATATATTTTAGTATGTGTTGACTGTAACTATGCATGACAGCATTTAAATGGATAGTTCACCTTGAGTTGCTGGTCCCCATTGACTTGCATAGTGTTTTTTTTTTTAAACTATGGAAGTCAATGGGGACCAGCAACTGAAGATGAACTATCCCTTTAACAGTGCTGCATGTTCAGCAGAGCTAAGAGGGGGGAAAAAGACGAACTGAAGTTATGTTTGCTCATCTTTTCCTGAGGGTTCTGAATGTGTTTGTTTAGAGTCTTTGTTATCATAATTACACTACTGCTCAATGACCAGGATGCTTTATCATTCGTTTACAGTGGTCAAAAATCAAAGCACCGCATTTCTCTCCTCCAAGATCTATTCGTCACTATAAGCACTGAGCAACCTTTCAACAAAACTGCTTTAGCTTTCCCCTCCAGTGCCTCTAATTCCATTAAACTCATTACAATAAGTGAGCCACACCAGGCTTCAGCATGCAGAAGCCATAAAGCAATGATTGGGATAATAATTCGAGCCTTTACTGGGACACTTTAGCGACTGTTTGAAGAAGCACCATTTGCAGTGCATCGGTCATTGGGCATGGCTAAATGATGTGTTCGCATGCATATAAAGGAAGGCATTAAACATGTCTCTCTCTTCATTTTGGCAGACTGGGCAAGCTCATTAGTGGGGAAATAGCTGCCAGCTGGGTTTTCCTTTGGGAGTTGGCTTCCTTATACCAAGTTCTCAGGCAAAAAAGAGGCAATGTGTAACAAACGAATTCACCAAGTGAAATGATTCCAAAACAGAGCTCATAACAAGTCCCCGTTTAATAGCCAGGAGGGGATGTTCCACAGCTTTCATAAATAAAAGATTAATTTCCAGAAGACTGGAATGTTTTAACATTAACAGATTGGATGTCTACCTCCAGTAGTTTCACTGGAAAATCTGAATAGTTTCACTTTAATGAGAGTAGCTTCAGGATGACATGAACCAGGCCAAATATAGTCAACTGATGGTTATCACATGGATTCTGTTTTTTGGGGGGTGAAGCAATCAGTTCTTATAGTTCTGTTTTATAGATAACACCTGGTGGTAGCCTCCCATGTTGACCCACCAAATTAAGAGTGTTGTGGTTAAAGGTCAAAAAGCTTGAGGATGGTTGGACACCAGCTGATGATATCAACTCCAACAGTCCACAAGGAGGAGTCCACATATAATGATTTATCATAATCCTGAGCCATGTGTGAATTCACTTTAGCAAAGAGTTTATTTTTAGTGTATTTCACAATCAGCGCCCAAAAACTAGAAATGTTTAAACAAATATGAGAAGAAATATTTACTTTCTGCAGCACCTGCAGTGATAAATCCTCGTGATAAATAGTCAAAAGTTCCAGTGACATGCTGTACTAATGCAGATAAAAGTGGTATCTCAGTGGCTCTCTTTTGACTAAGGGTGTATTCACACCAAGAAAGTTCGCTAGTTCATGTGCTTTGGTCTGGACCAAACACAATGTTGATGTTTTTTGTTTGGTGTGGTTCGCTTTCACACTGCCCATTTTGCAAGTGAACTAGAAATTTTAAACAAAACCACACGTGTGCTAAGGTCATCCATTCATTGGACAAAAATTCTCAAGCGTACCAGAGTTCGTTTGGAAACGGACCGAGACCACCTCTTCAGCTGGGTCTCGGTGCGGTTGTTTGGTCCGCACCCGAGTGCGATTACTGTATTCAACACCTGCCCAAAAGATCTGCACCAAGGGGGGAAACTAACTTGAGTTTGATTCAATCGAACCAAACAAGACAGGTGTGAATACACCCTAAAACTCTCTTCTCTTTATGACCAGTTTTGACTTTATATGGGATTGTAATACACGGTCAAGTTTTCACAAAATGTTATTTAGCAAAAATGTTTGAGTTAACACTATGGCTCACCAGTTAAAAAAAAAAAAGTGTACTACAAAAGTGAAATAGTGATAGCATGTATTAAAGGTCAATGTTTGTTCCTTAAATAAAAAATGCTGAGTGACTCCAACCTGACAGCTGAGAGCTTTTATAATTACCTAGAAGAAAAATAAAAATAAATATGATACAGCACAATGCAAAATAGCAATACATCTGCTAAATCTAAATGATACATCTGCTAAATTAATTGTTGTAGTTTAGCCCTGGATGTATCAAAGATAGTCTGGGAGCTTCTTTCCTTTTTCGCTGTGTGAGTGATTTGGACTGTCTGAGGCCATTTCCCTGTCTGCAGCTGATTTGACAGGCCTCTCAGTTGTTCCCTTGACAGCATGTCACTGGTACCAAACCAAAAGAGCAGCTTAAGGCTGACACACCACGCAATGCTTATGCCTTCTACTATACCATCAGTGCAAAACACATTCCTTTTCCTAACCATAAATCAGAGTCATTGTTTATCCTAATGTAGGAAGGTGACAGCTTCATGTCATTTCAACTAAAATAACAACATTCACAATTCATGTTTCAGACAAGAAGTGGAGATATCATCTTTTTGCCTTGCTATCTTGTTAAATTAAGGAAACTTGAAGCTGACACAGATAAAATGCTAATGGAATTTGCTCTGTTTACCTGTAGGCTTGTATGGTGCTTAAAAAAAAACAGTCAACATCAACCTACATGGATAGTTCTCCCAAAAATTAAAATTCTGTCATCATTTACTCACCCTCATGTCGTTCCAAACCTGTGATTTTTTTTCTTCTCTGGAACATAAAATATGATTTAGATTTTTTTTCCTCTAGTTGAAAGTTTTTCAAAAAAATTTTTTTTAATTCCACATAAGAAAGAAATGAATTACAATTACAGGCAATGACCAAAATATACCTGATGCCCAAAACGCTGTGCATTCAGTATTACATGCCCAATATTATATAAAATGTTTACATTACACAATTCTCACATTTTACTAACTTCTGTATTTGTTTTGTTTTTTAAGTTCTGGTTCTGAAAATGAAGATAAGTAAAACTATTGAGTCTTACAGTCTTACCTCTTGATGGCCTTGTAGCAGATGATGGCAGTCAGGAGGAGGAAGACCACAGATGCACAGCTTACTGTCCCCAGTACTAAGATCTCCATCTCTCTCCTCCATGGTGTTATGGGGGATACAGTGGAGGGAGCCACTGGAAGAGAAAAAAAAGTATTAAAAAGCATGCAGAGCACAGAAAAATAAATATGCAGAACAGGGATGTGCAAAACTACATCAACTAGTGGGTCTTGAGGAAGCCCTGAAACAGCTAGATGAAGAACAACAGAATGCAGTGTTCTCGTTTTATTTTACACTCGACATGCCATCTAAAAAAAAAACACAATGCTCATCATGGCACAAAAAAAAAATCAACACAAAACACTAAGATGGCCTAAGACACTTGTGTACATAGTCCAACATGTATAAAGTATTTCTGGAGCTCAGTTATAATGCATGGCAAGATCATTGGTGGTAAATTTGTTATAAAATCAATGCTTTGATGCCTGTACCGGTAGTAAATTTAAAGATGCAAATTCACGGAGCACGTTTTAGCATGATGTCAGTTAGAAAAGACAGCTTTGCTAGTTAATTAGTCAGTTGTTGGACAAGTAGTCAACCATCCCACCTGTCCCTAATGTAGAGAACTGTACTTTTACCATTATCACTCTCATACTGGTCTCTCACACCAATACAGTCTGATTGCACAATCATAAGGCTGCAGCATTCTGCTCTACTCCATTTATCATTCCATATCCGAGAGGCGCTTTATTTGGACCATTACACAGCCGTCTCATCCAGAAACATATTGGTGCTTCAGGCTGCTCTACCTTTCCCACCACTTTAAAGTTTGGATGAATTTTCTCTGGTTGGGAACTGATAGTGGCACCCTGCTTTAGTGAGCAGTTTTAATGGTACTTAAAAAAAAAATGCACAGGAGAAGGCTAATTAACGAGTTCATTGCCCTCATGAGCACATGGGGCTACTGCCTCTTCTCTCTCAGAATCAGAATAAGAAAGAGCTTTATTGCCAAGTGTGTTTACACACACACAAGGAATTCGTCTTGGTGTCAGGAGCTTCCAGTACAGACATACATATAATTTAAGGTAATAATGTGAAAATAAAACGCTAATAACAAAGAGAATAGACAATAAATAAAAAAATATAGAGAAAATATAGAGAAAAAGAAAATATCAATAGACAATTGTGAATGTGCACGTGCTATTTACAGATGAAAAGTTTTGATAAGTTATTTACAGATGTACAGTCTTGAGATGTTTTATGTATTGTTCAGGTGGTATATGGCCTGGGGGAAAAGGCTGTTCTTGTGTCTGGCTGTTTTGGTACTCAGTGCTCTGTAGCGTCGGCCAGAGGGCAACAGTTCAAAGAGGAAGTATGCTGGGTGTGAGGGGTCCAGACTCCAGAGTGATTTTACCAGCCCATTTCCTCACTCTGGAGGTGTAAAGTTCTTGGAGGTTAGGCAGGGGGGCACCAATAATCTTCTCAGCAGTCCTGACTGTCCGTTGTAGTCTCCTGATGTCTGATTTGGTAGCTGAGTCAAACCAAACAGTTATAGATGAACACAGGCTCACAGACTCAGTGACAGCCGAGTAGAACTGTGTGAGCAGCTCCTGTGGCAGGCTGAATTTCCTCAGCTGTTGATGAAAATACAGCCACTGCTGAGCCTTTTTTACAGTAGAGTCAATGTAATTGTCCCACTCCAGGTCCTGTGAGATGGTGGTGCCTAAGAACTTGAATGACTCTATTGCAGCCACAGTGCTGTTCATGATGGTGGGGGGAGTGCAGGGGGGTTTCTCCTGAAGTCCACATTCATCTCCACAGTTTTGAGCGTGTTGAGATCCATGTTGTTAAGGCTGCATCAGACAGCCAGCTGCTCAACCTCTTGTCTGTAAGCAGACTCCTCACTGTCCTGGATGAGGCCGATGGCTGCTGGATGTTTGTTTTCCCAACCTCACTAGTTGCTGCCTGTCTGTCAGGAAGCTGGTAATCCACTGACACGGGTGTGAAGTGCAGATCAGACCGGGTATGGGGTGTGAGACTGGGCTTTTCGAATCAGCAGTAAAAGACATTCAGATCGCCAGCCAGTTGTTGATTCTAGGGATGCGCCAAAATGAAAATTCTTGGCCGAAGCCAAAACCGAACAAAATGA